ATTTGATTATAACGAGCAATATCTTTATGTAATGTACGTAAAAGAATCATAGCGACCATACCAGAAAGAAATAAGACAATAACTAATGAATTAAGAATTGAAAACCATTGAATACGTGTTTGTGGTAATGATTTAAGTATATAATCCCATCGACTAGCCCAACGAATATCATTATTTTTTACAAATTTTAAACTATATGTAAATGGAATCTCAACATCTTTTGCTGTTGATTGGAACATAAGTGGTTCAGCACTACGATCACATTTCTCAGAATTTAAACTAAACACAAAAAAAATACTTTCAATATTAATCTTCCAAATTCGAATATTAAACATACCTATTAACTTGTACTTTAGCTGCGATTATACGACCACCATCTTCACCAAATGCACTTCCCCATGTTTCACCTTGTCCACTATGATAAGTGATTTCAAAATCCAAATGATTAAATACATAAAATGTATCATTTTTTCCATCACGAATATTACATGATTCTTTTGAATGACCACTTTTCGTTACATAACAACCAATTGGAAAACCTCGTGAACAAAATTCTTGATTTTCAGTATTTCTATAACATAATGTTACAGGCATATTATCAATAATCCAATGTTGTTGATAATTTAAAACCATTCCTTTCATTAAACGTTTCAACATTTTTTGTCGTAAAGCATCGGATGATGTAAATCGTTTGGTACATACTAAATGGCAATCATCATTTTTAAGAAAATCAAACTAAAATAACAAAGAAAATTATTTTCTATTTGATCGAATAAAATTCCATATATATTAAACCTTGTAAGGTGATGGACGAATTCGTTCACCGAATAAAACTTGACCAAGATTTTCAACTGGTGATGGTTCATCACTGATTGTGCAAAAATCAAAACTAAATTAAATAATTTAAAGATTTTTATACGAATTCATTTTTTTGTTGTTGTAAATTTACTAAGAATATTCATATGGTAAAACAGATTCGACTGAATCAAGACGATTGACAAATACTTCAACTTTTGTCTAATAGTAAAAAGAAATAACTTATATAATCCAATAGTTTATTTAACTAACTTTGCATTTTGAATCTTCTACAGCTTTTCGGCAAAATACATTAGGCGCTAAACCTGGTAGATAAAATGCATGAGCTATCCGATATATAGAAATGAATTGTTATATTGTAGACTTCTCATCATATGACATGCTTGCAATAACTATAATTATAGAAAAAATTGTTGGGTGAATTGTTTTTCCAACCTATGAGATTTAACAAAAGATGAAATTTTGTTTATTCTATGGGAAGTACATTCGAGCATTATGATGAAAATATTGTCAAACAATCCACTTCCGTAAAACAACATGTAGCTTCAATTATACAAATGTTTTTCTTCTCGTTCATCACATATATTGACATACTTAATTTTATGTTAGTATATCTTGTCTTGTTAACTAAAGAAGAAAAAGATGCGTGTTATTTTATTTTTTCATAGATTAGTATCATCAGTTTTTCATTATTAATAAAAATACAAAATAACACAAGAGAAGAACCATTCCCATTTTATTTCAATCATGAGTGGAACTAATATTTTAATGAATTGTTCTACACTTGCAATTCATATATTTTCTATGGTTATTTCATTGATTATTCTTGGTCTTATTGTTTATCGTTTCCATTATAATAAATTATATCGACGTCAAATTCATATTCAAATTTCATCATCACCTTTCGATGATCAAATTTCATTAATACTTATTGGTAATACATATCTCGTCTTTTCTATTTACCATCTAGCATGGCTTTCAATTATTTTTCGTACATTTATTGGAGATTTTTCTCTTTTAAAAGATCACTTCTATCTCGGTGATTCAAAACTTTGTCGAATACAAGTTGGTATTATTTTTTTCTTAACAAGTCAAATGTATCATAGTTTCTTATTACAAGCATTATATCGTCTTTTTAAAATTATTTCCATGTCAAGATTAACTCCAATAAAACTTTTTCAAATGTCATTAAATAATATTCCGATTTATATTCTAATGATTATTTTCAGTTGGTTAATATCATTTCTTGTTTTAATTCCAGCATATACAACATTTCATGTTTTTTCATATTTTCCTCAACAATATCATTGTCTTATCTCATTTACACATATCAAAGGTTTTATTTATTCACTTCTTGTCTGTTATCTTATACCAGTATGTTTAATATTATATATTTATTTTCATCTTATTATGTATATTCGTCGATTACCTAATTGTGGTATTTTATTACAAACAAAACGTGAAATAACTATTATAAAGTTTATTTTGAAGATTTGTTTAGTAATGAGTATTCTTGGTTTTCCTACACTTTTCTTTTTATTTCAATTTATTATTACTGGTGAAATGCATCCATTTGCTGATCGAATTCATGAACTATGTGTATCTATAAATGCACTCGGCTTTACATTCGGTTTCTCAATTCTCAATTCATTTACTCAACTTTTACCTCCACTGTCAGCTGATGAGGATAGTAGTATGATAAACTTACGAAGTGTCATCACTTAATACTTCAAAACGTCATATAATTAAAATTGTTTACAATTTGTTTGTGTAGATATGACTTTAGGTCTTTTATCATCTAGAAGTTTTTAGTTTTTTTTTCTAGAAGAAATTAATATAATATAAAAATGATCAACTATTCGTTAGTCTCATAATACAAATGTATTTAGAGTTAAAAATTCTAAGAATATTTATATTGATATATGAAATATATTTTTTATCATTTTAGACGCAAATAATAATAACGTCACATGGCTCAGATACTTCGTTTTTTTCTTTTTCTTCTATTAGTTAGTTTTATAAGCTTTTTATCTTATTGATGACATGGTAGTCAATCAAGATGAAAAAAACGTGATTCATATATTATAATAATCATTGTAATAAAGAAAAAAACTGAAAGTGCGTATTTTATGAGTACTTATTTAGGCTTGTTTATCATGTTGAATGTATGACGCCGATCATTAAGACAAAGATCGCTGATGATTAGTTTTTTGTTTTGACAGGACGTATACTGTTTATATTAAATTTGATGTGAAGCAATCTATGCATCAATGATCACTGAAATAAAAAAAAAACTAAAAGTATTTGATTCTGAGTCAGTTTTTCACCTGGACACTGGAAAATATCTCATTTCTTATTGGTTGATTAATATAATTTATTATATTTTTTCGTTAGAGAATGAAAAAAAAAGATTACTGTAGACAAAAAGGAATATATAAATATGTACTTGTATTACATTTGTTAATATTTATAATTAGTATATTCGTCGTTTACTTTAGTCATTCTTTAATATTAGTTAAAGGTAATTATCAATATAAAATTTGTATTTAAATTCATAATTTTGTAAATAATCAAGACATTAAACAGCTTATGAGTGAATCGAATTCTAATAAATAAAACCTATTTTCTTTAATTATTATTTTTATTTAGATTGAAATGATTTCTACTGATGATGATGATAATATTCAAGTGATCGAACTTGTAGATTTTGGAGAATCTTCTATTGAACCAGAAGAAATATCAAATTTGCCTTCAAATACACATAATGAAATAAAACAAGACAATAATAAAATTAATGATACGATTTCGTAAATCTTTTTCTTTAATTTACCGTTCAAAATAATTTTATTGAATTTTGTTTTTAGAAAACATCTTCCTGGGGGAATAACAAATTTAACTGTAGGTTTTATTAGTTTTTTTCTATTTACATGTATTATGGCGACTGCTGGAATCATTATTGTTTGTTTAACTGCACCAAAACCACAGGGTATGTTTTTTTTCAAATAATATCAATGAAATTGAACTATTTGTATTTTATTTTTCTTGTATTATTTAGGTGCAAAATGCGAGTTAAAATTCTCAGCAGTATTAACAAATCCAATAGAGTATAAAGTTGGTACACGATCAATTGCTGTTGCTGATTTAAATAATGATACATGGTTAGATTTAGTTACTACTGATTCTGGCGTTAACGAGATATCTATTTATTATGGAGATAAAGATGGAAATTTTATAAAACAAAATGAATATTCAACTGGTTCAAATTCTATTCCATATATGGTTGCTATTGGTGATCTTAATAATGATTATCAATTAGATATTGTAGTTACTGATATTGGTATAAATAATATTCGAATATTTTTTGGATCTGGAAATGGATCATTTATTAATTATAAAGATATTTCAACATATTCATCTCGTCCAATATTTATTAATTTAGTTGATTTTAATAATGATACATTACGTGATATGATTACAATTAATTATGGAAAAAATACTATAAGTATATATTATTCATCTGGAAATGGTACATTTTTAAATCCATTAAATTATTCAACAGGTTATGATTCATTATCATCATCGTTAATTACTGGAGATTTTAATAATGATCAATATTTAGATATTGCTATAACAAATTATGGAACAAATAATATTCAAATTTTATTTGGAAATCATAATGGAAGTTTAAGCAATGAAATGATTATTTATACTGGTATTAATTCTCATCCATCATCTATAGCTGTTGGTTATTTTAATATGGATTCTTTTCTTGATATTGCTATTACCAATTATGGAACTAAAACTATTGGTGTCTTTATAAATAATGGGAATGGAAATTTTCCAAATCAAACTATTTATCCAATAAATTCTACTTCTCCATATTCAATTGATGTTGGTGATTTTAATCAAGACGACGAAATGGATTTAGCTATTATTGGTATTGGTATTAATAATACTGGTTTACTTCTGGGGTATGGGGATGGTACTTTTTCTGATGCAAGAATGAATTCAAGTGGGTCATCATCCTCAATTTCATTTGCTGTCTGCGATTTTAATAAAGACAATCGATTAGATATGATTATTGTTAATAATGATACTGATAGTATAGATATTCTTGTTGGTTATTTTGAAGGATATAAAAGTCCAGTGATGTTTGCAACTGGTTCTTCACCACGATCTCTTGCTGTCGGTGATTTCAATAATGATACTAAACTTGATATAGTTGTTGGCAATTATTTAAATAACTCAATCAGTATTCTTCTGGGATATGCTAATGGTTCTTTTGCACAACAAATGACATATGGAACTACCTATACTCCATCTTCGGTAGCTGTAGGTGATTTTAATAATGACAACAGATTGGATATTGTTGTTGTTGTTCTCATTTCTTATTCGAATAATGTACTTGTTTATCTTGGAGATGGCAATGGTTCTTTTCCAAATCAAATACCATATACAGTTCCTATTCCGCTACACGCCGTGGCTGTTGGGGATTTCAATAATGACAATCAACTAGATATTGTTATTAACAATCCTAGTAGTAATTTTGCATATGTTCTTTTTGGAGTTGGTAATGGTTCTTTCATAAATGCTACGGGACGTTCTACTGGTTCTCAACCATACTCTGTAGCTGTTGGCGATTTTAACAATGATAATCAGCTAGATATTGCTGTTCCTAATTATGGTGACAATACCATTAGTGTTATTCTTGGATATGGTAATGGATCTTTTAAAGATCAGATAATATATTTTGCTGGTCGTACGCCATATTTTATAGCTGTTGGTGATTTCAACAATGATTCGCAATTAGATATAGCGGTTGCTAATTATAATAGCCGTAATATAGGAATTTTTCTTGGATTTGGTAATGGTTCTTTTGCAAAACAAGTTACATATGCAGCTAAAAATAGTCCAACATCCTTAGTGGTCGGTGATATTAATAATGATACTCGACTGGATATTATTATCGCCAGTATCTTGCTTCCAACTGTCGTTGTTCTTTTTGGAGATAATGATGGTAATGGTACTTTTCAAACTAATATGGAATTCACTACTAACGTTTATTCATATCCTGTCGCTATTGGTGATTTTGATAATGATACTCGACTAGATATCGTCGTGGCGGGGAATAGTAGTAATAAGATTAGTGTGATCCATCAGTATAATCGAGGAGCCCTTTACAACGAAGACAGCTATGCATCTGGTGGTGGTTCTAGTTTACGATCGTTTATTATTGCTGATCTAAATAACGATAATCATTCAGATATCATTGTTGCTAATTATGGTACTGACGATGTCGGTATTCTTTTTGGGTATGGAAATAGTACTTTCATGGAACAGATAAAGTTTGATATGACTTCAAACTCTCATCCATCATCCATTACTATTAATGATTTCAATGGTGATACTTATATAGATATTGCTGTAACTAATTATGGTACAAAAAATATAGGAATGTTACTCGGAAATGGAAATGGATTATTTGCAATTCAAGCAATTTATCAAGTTGGTGTTGCTTTCGGTCCTATTGCTATTGCTTCTGGTAATTTTGATAATGACAATCGATCAGAAGTTATTGTTGCGTATGATGGAAGTGATAATGTCGATATATTTTTTTCATACAATACTGGATCCTTTACAAATCAAACGACATATCCAACCGGTTCTCAACCATATGCTGTAGCTGTTGGTGATTTTAACAACGATACGTATCTGGATGTAGTTATTGCCAATGCTAATGATAATAATGTGAGTATCCTTCTTGGATATGGAAATGGTTCTTTCACAAGTCAGGTGACATATGCAACTGGTTCGTTTCCAGAATCTCTCGCTGTTGGTGATTTTAACAACGACAATCAATTAGATATCGTCGTTGGCAATGCACTTGGCGGTAATATTATCATCCTTCTCGGATTTGGTAATGGTTCTTTTATAGCTCAAAGTCCAATATCAACTGATGCAACTCCACGGTGTATAGCAATTGGTGATTTTAACAATGACACGAAGTTAGATATTGTCGTTACCAGTCTTACTTATAACAGAACAAATATCTTTCTTGGATCTGGTGATGGATCTTTTGCTCTCTTCAAGCGATATCCAACTGGTCATTCTCCTCGATCGGTAGCTATTGGTGATTTCGATAATGATGGTCAACTAGATCTCGTTACTGCTAACTATGATGATAACAATGTGGGTGTACGTTTGGGAAATGGTGATGGTTCTTTCAAAAGTCAAATGACTTTTTCAACCGATAAAGGGGCACAATATGTAGCTGTTGGTGATTTTGACAAAGACAATAACCTTGATATTGTTGTCGCCGTAGCGAGTTCGGGAAAAATGAATTTTCTAGGTGGATATGGTAATGGATCTTTTCAAAATAGAACCGCGTATCCAATTGGTTCACTTTCATTATCTCTAGCTGTTGGTGATTTCAACAATGATGGTCAATTAGATGTTGTTCTTTCAAATCAAGCTAGTAATGATATCAGTATACTTCTTGGAAATGGAAATGGTTCTTTTGCACCTGAAATAAGACATTCAACTGGCTCTGGCCCATATTCTGTAGCTATTGCTGATTTCAACAATGACAACTTACTTGATGTTATTGTTCCTGATTCACAAAATGACAATGCCATGATACTTTTTGGATGTACCAATCAAGTTTTTGTAAAAAAAACGACGCTTGCAACTACTAAAGATTCTCGACCAAAATCGTTCATCATTGA